GAAGTTTACTGACTACTGCCAATTGAAATATATTGGGTTGAATCCAATATTGTGCTAGCAAAGGGTCCATTGGTACAATAGAGTTTTATTCTTTCTTTCCTTCTGCCCATCAAGTTCAAGTTCACTTTATTATGGTCAATGGCCAGTTTGAGAGAAGAGGGACATAGTCCCATACAAGCATATCAGAGTTATGGGTTAAGATTTAAAACTTTAAAATTAGTGTGTCATTCTTAGGACATTAAGATAATTAATTTAAGAATCTAAACTAAGATAAAAGCCATATACAGAATTATATTAAAACCCAACAATATTTTTAGAATTAAAGGGAAGGGAATATAAACGGAGGGAAGGGAAGTCCAGTCAAACAGAGGAGGGAGCAACATCCATATTACAACCAAAAGACTGTAATCCAAATTTTCTGCTAGTATGAAGTCCCGTCTTGTACTGGCTTATGCTATCAAACATCAACCACCAGATTTTAATCGCTGCCGTGCAGAACTTGGCGACATTATAAGATGTAACCGAGTTAGTGTCTGAAAGCAGCAGGGAGATGTAAAATTATCCAGAGCATCCTGGGTGTAATGAGACAGAACTGAATATCTGTATAGAACAAGCACTGAAGAAGCACATGTTCCATTGTATCTATGTGTCCTGAGCCACAAGGGCACAGTCTTTCGGATTATGGGGTATTCCAGTACAGCAGATTGGGGTGGGGCATGGCTGGAAACCTCTAGCATAGGGGAGATACAAAACCTATTGTCTCCATTAATGATGGAGGTTGAGGTGGCCTCTTGAGAGGGCCTAATTTTGCAGCTAAGACTCACATCTGAAAGGAATGAGTTGGAATAAAATCAGTTATGATTTAAGCTGGAAATTTGCCAACAAAAAGAGGCAACTAAATTAAATTGATTTGTTGGCAAAACACCTTCATTTAAAAGTTCAACATTATATTTCAATGTAATAAATAAGTTAATCAGAATTAACTGATTCATTATTAATTCATTTATTGAAAGACAGCAAATTCTATATTACTAAATTGATTATTTATCAAAGTCTAGTTTGTTAGAATTTTGCAACATTTTTGTTAGTTCTGCTAGACTGAGGATTAAAAAATATGCCAGCCATAAGTACTCAAAAGTGCTTCAACTGAAATGACTTGGATTATTTGGCTTTAGAAGTTAGCACTAACCCCCATTTAGGATACATTTACTGATACCAATATGTGTGTGACAGAGGCAGAGTGTGTGTACACACATTCGAATTTGTAGCAGTCTTCAGAAACTTGAGAAAACTCTTGATAGTCCATTAGAATATAGATGAAAAGAAGGAAAGCAAATATCCCAAGAACATATTTTCTGCTAAGTTTCTCTTCTTTTTTTACAGAACACTTTTTCTCAATAATTATGTTGTAGTTCAGCCTGTGATTGTGTCTAATATTCATGATGGGAATGAGGATGAAGGGTTTTCTGGATCGGGGTCTGTTGGCAATGGAACGAGGGTTTTCCTGGGCCTGAGTTAAGCCCAGACGAGAGGATCAAGGTGTCTCATGAAGATTCACAAGATCACATTCCTGGGAGAGGCCCTCAACAGTTTTTCTCTGAGAAACTGTTTTCAGAAGATAAATTGTCAGGTGCAGAATTTAATGAGTGTGAAGATAGAAAGTGTGTCTTTTGTAAATAAAGACATAGTTCTCAGGCATATCGAAGGTCACTTTGTTTTGCAAAGAGAGATAACAAACCCCTTATCTGTTTGTAAGGGTGAGAGAAATGCTTTCCTTTCAGTTCTGGGGTCAGGAAAACTTTATATTGATACAAGGGAAAGAATTGCCTCAGTCTCGTTAACGTTGGGATTTCAGGACGGTCTTGTTTCAAGTGTTCCTAGTTTCAGATACCAAGTTTTGCCAGGCTCCTGATCTATGTATTGGATTTTCATGCTGACTTGTTCCATCGATTTTGTACTTTTGGATCTTATCTTTTACCTTGTGCGTTGAAGCTCATGGACTATTCTTCATCTTGGGACTATACTGTTTTTGCCATTTTTACTGCTTTGCCTACATTTGTTCTTCAATAAACTGCTTGCTGATTTTATCAAGCTGGTGTGTTGTTTAAGGTCAGAGGTGTTCCTACTTTGGATTACAACAGATTATCTGTTTAAACATAATGAGCCACTTACAGCTTTATCTACACTAGCCTTTAATCCAGAACTGGACCAGATGTTACTTCTGGAAGTCCTGACAATGCCTATGGACTTCCATTCTTTAACACAGGATAAGCCAGGGTGAACCACATTAAGTCGGGTAATGCTTGGGAATTTTACCAAAACTCCAGAGCAGTCCTACACTGGTTCCAGAATGAACTAGTTTATGGTTCACATGGACCAGCACCTTCATTAACTTTTTCTTGTGCTCAGTGCAGGGAAAGGGCAGTGTTATCCATGTGGTAGATGGCCACAGAGCTCTGGGAGATTTTGTAGCCATCACCAGTCACCTCTGCAACCATCTGATTCCCAAAATTTACCCCCCCCCCCCAGGTGTTTTAGACTTTATCTCCCAGAAGCCCTGGCAGACTTGGCAGGAATTCTGAAAGTTGAAGTCCCAAACATGTGAAAGTTTGGGAATCATCAGTGTAGCAGGACTATGAAGTCTGCCACACTGCTGCCAGGGGCCAAGGACAATTTGAACACCTTCAGAGCCTCAGGGGCAAGACTAGAGCATTTCTGGCTCCAGAATATTTGGCAAAATAATTTAAGTGCATTAATAACTATAATAATACAATTCAGTGCATTACTAAATGTTCAGTACATTAAAATATTAATAACTATAATAATACTATTCAGTGCATTACTAAATGTTCAGTACATTAAATTCTAAATATTGTCTGTACTGTTTTCACTACACAAGAGAACAAGTGAATAGATGACTGAATTGTAAATTACTTAATCAACTATTTCAATAAATGCAAATGGCTAGAGGAATCTTTTAGTTAATAATCATAACTGGATACTTTTGTTCACTGTTACACAAAGTGGTGGTCTATGAACTTTTCCCAGTTTCCAAGCTATTTACTGCTAGCTTCTGACAAGTTTCCAAAAAAAGCAACAATTATAGCTAATGACACAAATTTTGGTCATGGAACAGTAGAAGAAAAACAATTAATGAGTCACATTGATAGGTTGAGATGTGCTGTTTTAGATAAGTTTCAGCTTTAAAGGATAGCTAAGCAATAGCGACAACTAGAAAGCAAATACAAGCAGTCCCCGAGTTATGAACAAGATAGGTTCTGTAGGTTTGTTCTTAAATTGAATTTGTATGTAAGTCAGGACAAGCACATTTGTAAGTTTAACTCCATCCAAAATATTTTTTTAGTTTTGGATAGCTGAGGGAAGGATTAACACCCCTTTGGCGTTTATTTTGCTATCTATGACCTGTTCAAAATATTTCACCTCACTTTCTGTCCCTGTGATAACTGAATTTTGAATTTTTTTGGCTTGCTGTGAAAACAAGGATTGTCGAGAAAGCTTCAGTTGAGACACCTTTCCTCCTCTTCCAGGAGTAAATTTTGCTTTCAAGAGGTAGATGCCTCTCACTTCCTGTTGTGTCACCCCTGTTCATATTTAGGAGTCATTTGCAAGTCAGATGTTTGTAACTTGGGGACTGTCTGTAGTCTTCTTTGCATAGAGATGAGTTCTCTTATATTCTATAACATACATTGTATGTATGTTCCTCATCTGTCCAGCACACTGGTCTATATGAAAAATCAATATCCCATATATAAAGGAGGGAAGAAAGGGAATTATAGAATCATAGAATCAAAGAGTTGGAAGAGACCTCATGAGCCATCCAGTCCAACCCCTTGCCAAGAAGCAGGATTAGATGATGAGAAAGGGAGGGAGAAAAAACAGAGGGTCTTTGGCAGAATGTATGGCAAATGTGGCCTTTTCCTTTTTGCCAAAGCGAAAACAGGGATGGGGAAAATCAAGAATGGGGTTTTTCACCTTCATTCTGGTAAGCATTTTTAGTAATGCTAATGTAATACAGATTTAAGCATCAATTTGAAATTACCATAATTGTTAAAAAGGTTCTCCTTCTAATCTTTTCATAATCAAACTACAGTAGATTTTAGCACATTAACTTACTAACCTGTTCTCACTGACTTCCTTCTCTGCCTGAAATCACCCATAATGAAACCTATTAACTTATTTTAGACCATTTTCTGAAGGTTTAGTGCTTCAGAGAAACATAATTAGGGTCCTAATCACTATGAGTACTCTCCACTTTTCATCAAAGTATTGTAGTGCCAAAATTAACTTTAATGGAATGTGTGTTGCATTGATTTAACTTGCTACTTGCTTAACAAATTATGAGTGAAATATATAATTCTGATTATTCTGAGGAACAATTAAATGATGTTATAGTGTTTAAAGCAGAGCTTTCCAAACTGTGTGTTGCCTGTAGTCCATAGCTGTATTGCTTGAAGAAATGCTCCCCCTCCCCCCACTTCCCAACCCTCACAAACAAAGGCTGTCTGGCAGCTGCTTGGATATATTGGCCACCACCCGAGGAGGAGGAGGAGGAGGAGGAGGAGGAGGCAGCAAAAGTAAAAACAACAGTGGCAACCACTCAGGAGGCACCAAGCCCAACCCTGAAGTCCTGCCATCCTTCTCCTCTTTGTCATATTTGGTTCCCTGCCTCACCCCCAATAGCAATTACCTCTGCCACATGGGAAAGGGGGCAAAAGAAGAGGAGGAAAACATGTATAAATAAGGGCTCCAGGAAGAGGCCCACAGTCAATCGTCATCCAATCAAATCCCCTGCAGCCAGGCAGGAAGACACAGTCAAAGCCCTTCCAACAGAGTGAAAATTCTGGAATACATTGAATACATTTTGTTGTTTTGAATATTTTGATAAAAGTTTCCCCTCTTTGTTTTAAAATAGGCCATTCTCATCTTCCTTTTTCTTTCTTTTTGGTAAAATAACACTAGTTTTCACTGTCTTCCTGTAGTCGATTACTGACATGGAGAGATATACAGCATATCATTGTAAGGACTTCACGGGCAGGACATTTGATTGCTAATGACTGGAAAACTAATGCGGCTGGTTACAAGGGTGAGTATATCATTGTCTTTTAACATTACAGGGGTTTTCTTGTTTATTTTCAGGAAATAAATGTTTGTTCTGCCAACTAGGGCTTGTACAGTATTAATAGCAATATCAAACTTTTACAATTTCTGCCTCCTCTTGATTTCACCAGCTATTTGTGACTATATTTGCCTTAGGTGAGACAAATCATAAACTCAGAGCAAATGTTAAGTCATGGAGACTAAAGTGCCCTTGCACTTGTTTCTATGCTAGGAAAAACAAATGTGACATTAAAGGCCTAAATCCAGTTGTTAGTTCCAATAATGAAACTTCCTTCAGTGTTGACTTCTGTTCCCACTGATTCAATTAAATTAAAAATGCAAAGAATATTAGCAAATTTTCTCATCCTTATCCAAAGGACTGTCTCAACAAGTCAAGATCCCTGATTTTAAAAAGAAGAGAAAAAAGGGATGATATCTGGAATAGTAAGGTCTTCACGGGCAGGACATTTCACTCCACCTCCACATGAGAGCAAAAAAGTCCAAGATTAGTTTCTCCAAAAACATCAAAAATGTATTTTGCATGCAAATATGGGGAAAATATTTTACACAAAATGCAAATAGTTTGCAAAAAAAAAACTCTTCAGGAAATTTTCATCCAAAAGCCCAAACATCACTGAGATATGCTTTTGAATTTTTGTGGTCTCACATATGAGAACAAAGTAAGCAAACGTGTATTTATTTTATTGTATTTTTTGTATTTTGCCTTTTTCTCAGTATGGGACTTAGGATTGACAACTTTGGAACTAGCTTTGAGATATAAGCCAAAATCTAATGTTTAGAACGATATTTGCAACACTTCATTTCTTGAAGCCCATAAATTCCTAGAGGGTAAAATTGTTCCTTGACATCATTGCTCCTTACTTCTGTACAGTAAGTTCATAAAGATGTAAAGCAGACTAATCCATGTATATAAACAATTCAGACATAACAACAAACCTCAAGGTTTGTCTATCCTTCTTTCCCCAAACCTATTTTAAAATCATTTAAATCTTGATACCACCAGAACCAGAAAGATTATTTCTTTTCCATTATGTTGCTGAGTCATGAGCAGAAAAAAAAATGCAAACTATCAGAGAAATACTTGTACCATCACTGTTCCAGAGTAATAAATGATACTAATGTCTGTTGGACATGAATCTAAATCCTATCACCTTTAGAAAGTTAAGAAATAATAATATTGCTCCCATTTTGTTATTTTAGGGGATGAGGTTGTGGGAGAAGCTTTACAAGTACAATATTTTACCATTATATTATCTTTATTTAATATAATGTATATATACTTAGAATAAAAATAGGATTTCTTCACAAGAAAATGCATAGTGCACTAATCCTAAAAAGAAACATGTGCATTTTAGTTTATTCAAATTCTAAAATAAAGTCAATAGTGTTGTTGAGAATTTAAATGTATTCAGATTTCAAAAAGGTACATCACAAGAATCAAACATATTTTCTAGGATATTATCTGTAACTAGACTATCAATGGCTAATTGACTATCAACTGGAAATTGGATAAGAGTTATCATTTTATGTAATAATTTGGGATAAGATTAGACTGGACAACCTGTCACCTGGAAGTAGTATCTGTCTGCTAGAAAATTCTGAGATAATAGAACCATTCCATTTCCTACTCACTACCTCCTTTGCAAAGGAGGTAAACCCAGAGGCCAGATCAGGCAGAAGATAGTGGATATGGAAACGAGTATAGTAAAAGTGAGAATGCCAAAGTAGCACCATCCTTTCTGTCTGGAACATTTTTTAAAAAAGTTGCAGTTCTTCTGTGGAAAACTTAGTCAAACTAATTTAATATAGGTAGGAATTACTCAGCTGAATGATAGTTTATAACTTATATGATTAGGGATTATTTACATGGCACATCCTTACCGTCATTCATTGCTATCTATCATGAGCAAGAAGGTATACAAATTAATAGTTTGCAATGGTAAGTTAGGAAGAAAATACTGTGAGTTACTAAGTCTCCCTCTGTGTGTGTGTGTGTGCTAAAATGCACACACAGTTTGAAGCTAATGTCTGTCATATTTTCCCCATAGCAGCTGTAATTTGTCTGTTCAGTAGTACATTGCAAGTGTTGGCAACTGGAAATAAAGATAATATTTGATACATTGCGGTATTAATATATAGTTGTATTGACCCAGCAATTCTATTTTTAGTTTTAAGGCACTACTGGGATGCATGGGCTGTATGTCAACATTTCAAGCTTTAAGTTGGTATTTCCCTTAAGCCCAGCCTGATCAATGTCATGGATTACTGGTACTAGGAGTATAATGTGACCTGACAGAATTATTCTAAATTTACCTCTCATTGGAATTGGAAGTAAGAGGAGAAATAAGGAATCAACTTTAACCCAAATAAAAGAATAGTTTTAAGTACATTATTTTGGCAATATATTCTAAGCAAATGGTTCCAATAAAACTGTAACTCTTTTTAAACTTCTTGTTAGTTTTGGATGAAGAAAAAGCAAATGATTTAGATTAAATAACAACATCCAACTTTGGAGTTTATTCAGTGTATGGGGTAGGGGTGGAGGGAGACTTGCTCTGGAAAGACTAGGAAAGAGTTTTGTTTTTCACTATTTCACGTGGCAATATGCAGTGTAATATTTCACTATTGTCCTCAACTGCAGCCAAAAATAGTGACTATAAACCTGTTTTTCATATAATAAATAACTCTGTTCAGGCCGAATATCCTATATAAATAGTACCATATTTCTCTTGATGGCTGAAATATGTTTCTTTTAGCAAGGTGTATGGCAGAAGGAGCCTTCTGAAACTAACTAATACTTCAGTATTATGGCCTCTTTCCCAGTAAACATATTTAATGCTGGCCTTAAAACAGACTGATGAAGCACAGTGAGTGGGGGTGAGGGGTCTAAGAAGTATGCAAGAGTGAGGGAGGCCTCTTTGTTTGCAATGAGAAATCAAAGGAAGGAAACAGCAAAAATCTTAAGGAGCCCCTTACTCAACAAAGAATCAATGAAAGTTGGCACTTGAAAGTGGGTCAGCATGCCTTTTCAGTGGCCTGCTTCACTTACTTGCATGGCAACGCAGTGCCTCAGAACTGTTGCTCCATCTGATTTCAAGTCAGAAGTGGAAAGAGCTACAAATGAGCCATTAACCCTCTTGAGTAAAAAATATGAAAGCTCTTTACATTCATTTGAACTCAAGGAATGGCTATTCAATACAACACTGCTCAATAAATGTTTGCAGGCCAAGTGAATCCAAAGTATTATTTAAAACCACAATGCTGTGATAGTCTAGATTTTTATTTTATATCTTTTTGGATCAGATCACTATTGTAAATAAAAATTTCTCAAACTGTTTTTGTATTTTTAGTAATTATATGAAGTGCTACAAGCAGTAATTCATTGCTCAGTTTTTCACTTCACTCATGTTTTAAAATGGTAAAAATCTAGAAAACAGGCTTCCTCTCTTGGAGGTATCAAAATAATATCTGTGTGTCCATGGGCAACAAGCTCCATTCAAGAAAAATTGAACACACAATGAATTGAAAATGAAGTAGACCATAAACTTTATTATTTACAGCTACATCTACATCGGTCACCAGATCCAGGCATCACCCAAAACCGCCTGTTGAGCCATGAACTATTCTTCCCACTAGCTGATCCCATGGGATGATAGGGAAGGACCCATAGAATGCTGGGCACTGACCAGTTCCACCCACACCCTATAAACCCATTTAGGGAACCCCCATCCCCTTTATCAATCCTCATCCCCTTTATTAATGCAAAATGAACACCGGATACTAGTAATTCACATCTCAACACCAGAACCCATTCTAAACCAGTCCATCAGTTGTGACAAATGGAGCAAAGTACAAAGAGTTGGTTATGACCTTTAAAGCCCTACGTGGTTTAGATCCATGTTACCTGTCAGATTTCCACTAGATGTCACAGACCCAGCTTCAGAGGAGAACAATGGCAGAATTCACCTGAACAAACCTTGCCATGAAAACCCTGTAATAGTTTTGCCTTGGAGTTGCAATAAGTAAGAAATTATTTTAAAGTGTACAACACCAAAACCAATAACTGGTGTTAATTGTATATGTTGGCTAGTTTGTTCACATATGGACAGCCAATAAAAATATAGAATAATTTTAAATATATAGAATGATAATAAAATATAGAACAGGATTGTAATTTTAGTGTTGACAGTGGTCTCAGAATCATGAAAGGAAAGTACTGCCTTCCATTCTAGAAACAATATTGACATTCATGCTTTCAGTAAGATACTTATTTTAAAATGAAAACTAATTCGTTTCATTACTTTTAAAAACCAGCTTTATTAGAGTGATGTAATAATAATGTTTGAATAGATAAAACTGAATATGTTATATAATATATGATAGTAATTGTTATTGTTATGATAAACTAAAGTGGTTATCATAATTGTACATAACCACATTACTAGAAATAATGAAATCACTGTTCTGACGGAACACATCATTGATATTATCACATCAACTGAAAAGTTGTTACTAGAGTAATAAGGAAGCATAGTATTATTAACAGCAAATGTTCACCTGGGCTCTTCTAAACAAACAATCTGGCTGTAGCAGTCGATTAATATTCCATTTTAAACTCCTGTAATATCTTGAAGTCTTTTAAAATCAAAACATAAGCAGGGGCTCTATAATTTAATGGCATTTACATTTCTAAATAGTTCCCTAACACTATGTGTGATTGCATACTTTTTCTGATGCTTTTTAGAAAAAGTAATCTATTACGTTTAATACCATTCTTGGTCACATCATATAGGATTTTGATTTTTCAAATCAATATGTTTGAATAGCTGCCTGTTGCTACTGATTAATATGTTTTTGGGGGTTCAGGTGATCTTGGGTTGTCAACATCTGATTTTGTTCAATGCATTAGTAGAGATTTGTGTACTTGCCACATTATTAGAATATTTTCTATTTCTTAATTTCTTT